TTGCGTGTTACCTTTTTGCATTGATTTCAAGACGTCATTACTTGTACTGTCATATATATATATATATATATATATATATATATATATATATATATATATATATATATGACATTGATTTCAAGACGTCATTACTTGTACTGTCATATATATATATATATATGACAGTACAAGTAATGTGTGTCAGTTTATATATATATATATGACAGTACAAGTAATGACGTCTTGAAATCAATGCAAAAAGGATATATATATAGTTAAAGGGTTAACCCTGCCTAACGTGGAACATAGCACGTTTTGTAGTCACATTCGACGTTACGCAGCCTAACGTTTTAGCCTATCTCGGACGGACACTTGGAAGATTTGAAAAGTAACAATCGTTAGCTTAAACGCAAAAGGATATGAAAAATTTATCCGATTTGTTTTCATTACTGAAGTGAAAAGACATTATTATTTCAACTAAAATCAAAGTGTCTGTTTCTTATCTTCCAATGAAGATTCTATGATTTACAGTCTTGCCAATACAACGTGAGCTGTTGTCGGGGAAACTGAGCAAGTCAGCAGGTTATAATGATAATCTAATTCAAGAATATCGAAATGGTAATCTGATAAGGGTCAGGCGAGGTTGCGAGCAGTACAGCAATAATGATCACAGGTTCACATACATGTGGAGGACATTTATTTATTTATGTGTTTATTTATTTATTTATTTATTTGTGTGTCAGTTTATGCGCAAATGATGACGTACATCAGATAAACCATTTACAGTGTACCTGAAAATATTGATGTGCAAGACACTTAAATATGTTGCCAAGAACAGTATTATGTAGTAGCTTAAAATTAATACAAAGCATTCTTGGAAAGCATAATATTAATACGCCATCACGCAACGTCATCTTTTCTCTTATTTCACCCAATTCTCCAAAACGTCAAGCATGTAGTTTATTTTGAGAAGCACAACACGCGACATTGCATAGTGACAACAGTTTATGGTTGAAATACTTCACCTGTATCTCTAGTGTCAATTACTTTACACCAATAAACTTAAGTTAAAGCGATACGTCAATCAAGTAATACTTCGGACACCACTGCACTTTGACTAAAGCATCAAAAGAACCACTCTGGCATCGATGTCGCGATATCATAACAAAGTCAAGGGTAATATAACCTGTACTAAAAGAAAACGCCGGGGGGAGATTATCCTAATCTTAATCACTTCGAAAGCGTAGACCGAGATTGGAATCAGGAGGTATTGAAATGAGTTTGTGTCGGATTCCACACGGTTTGACGCCCCGTAATACGGCGGCATTTCCTCCAGGCTACTTCCAGCTGTACGGCGAAAAAGAAATGAAGGCTATGGGGCAGGGGTAATATCTTACCTAATATTTGCGGTGGCAGGTGGAAAAGAGGAGTGTTTTCGGTTTTGTATCCTAAAAGTTATGTTAACCCCCTCTTTATCTACCAAAAACAGTTTAACGCCTGATGTTCAGTATGTGTATGTGAGTGAATGGGGTTTGGGGGGGGGGGGGGAGAGAGAGAAGCAGGGACTATTGCCTCTTTTGAACTTTCTATGAATCATAAACATCAAAGCGAGGCAATAGCATAAATAGATGGATAAACAAACAACAAAACGCAGTAATGGATAAATTGATAGAAAATAAATAAATCAACCCAGCAAACAAACAAACAAACAGATTAACCAAGGAATAATTAGATTTGAAAAAAAAAAAGAATTATCCCAGTCCATCCAGTAAATAGAGTCCCGTTTTTCAAGTAGAATAGTTACAAAAAACCTGGAAACATTCTTCTACACCAAGGCCTTGGTGCATGCAATGATTATGGTTCTTAAAACCGTTACATCTGTTGTTCATCGTTATATCAACATCTTACAAAATTAAACTCATAAACGGCAATGAATAAATAATGCACATGCGAGCAGAGTCTGTTACATTGCTGTGTTCTACGTTTAATCATAGAAGTAGTCTATGGTTTAATATATTGGCAAAAGGTAAAAAAGAACTAATAACGCCGACTGTCATGATCACGTTTATATTACCAAGGAGGAGAGGACAGAACAGTCCACGCGAAGGACGACTTCAGTTGTTCATAAACGCCTATACATAACAATAACAGCAACAACAATAACCTGCCTTCGCCTCTATTTATATTTTATTATGCGATAAAAGGACATTTGCGTACTATCAATTAACATTAGCAAACAGCTGATGAACCTAATTCAATCCCGCGAGACTAACCTTCATTACAGTGCCGGTGGGTTAAAAAATTGGTCATCCTCGCTTAAAAATCAAACAGTCCGTTGTTATGATTCGCGCTAAAGTTAGCCATCAGGACTTGACAGATAAATTGGCCCCCAGTTCAGGAGATAAGTGAAATACAAACTATTGGTTCCAGAACTCAAAGCATTCGGCAAAAAGATTGCAACACGGCGACGCGCTTTTTTCTTCCACATCCAGACTATAACAATTCAAAGAAAAAAATAGATGTAAGGCCGGCTAGTAGCTGGCAACCAGGGACAAGCGGACTGCTAATTATATATTAAATTCGACTATCCCGAGAGAGAGACAACGTGTAACCTTTTTTTTTAATTGGGAAAAATTCTAAACACAAAACCTTATAAAGAACAGCAAAATTTTGTCAAGTAGGCCCGCTTGTCTACCACACAACCCCAAGTGCTTCGTCAAGTTGTAATATTATTAAAGGAGACTTACCATCAGCCAGCCGAGCTGTTCCTCCATTGCCGATATTGTATCGGAAGAAATCGATATCGAAGTGATCCTTCCTAAGAATCGTGTGTTTACCTACCGTTGCTTACCTAACGTGGGTGTGTGCTATTTTTGTCATGTCTGTTAGCGCCGAACGCGTGCGGAACTTATTGAAACATGTACAGTAATGGCCATAAATACGGCTTCGTTGCAAAAACGGGTCTTCAGCATAGTTAAATTAAGAAACCGTTATGCAATATAGTTGTTGTTTTATGTAACTAGAATTAGTACCATTCTATAATCAGTACATGGACACGAAAATCTGCAATCAACAGGAAAATAAAATTTAACTGTTTTCTTCAAAAACCAAAAATAAAAAAGAGAAACCACCACTTCTGCCGGCAATGACCGGACCAAATCTTCAACTAAAATAAGAAAACAGGTGTTTTCTTTGGGATCACTATTCGCATTTGCTATTGTGTCTAAATATTGGTATCTCATATTAGTATTTAAACATCTGTCTCGTGATGATCACCACTGTGTAATCTCTATGGCCGCTACTTTGGCTGTCTGGTGGGCACTTTGAAGCATTGCCGATAACAATTCCCCCCGTTTTGACAACTAAGGGCTAAGGCGGGGGGTGGGGGGTGGGGGGGGGTGGGGGGGTGGGGTGTCAGTCGGATTTAAAGATTCCTTATTGTCTTATTTCCTTAATAAATACCTAATAAATACCACCTTTCATTCTCTTCTCATTTCCTCGCCCCATCTACTAAAAACGAGTCCTTTAATCTTTTGCTCAGTGAAATCTAATGCAGTAATCAAATGTCCCTAAAACGAACATTTTATTTCTTTTTTAGTTCCCTGCGTGTCTTTAAATGTCTGTCCGTCTGTCTACCTGTCCGAGCGTCCATTGTCTGTAAGTCTTCCGCTTTGCTGCATTAAAAATGTGAACTCGGTGAAATACGGGTCACAGGTTCCCCTGCATCTTAATACAGATAGAAAAAATATGAACTGGACAACCTAGGCGTAAATAACAGCGCATTTTATCTCCATTATACACCAGTAGAATAATATTTTGGATACAAGTCCACGATTGTTCACATAATAACAAGCAGAAGGCGGAGGAATGGCAACATTTTGTTTTTCTCCTAAACTCGGGTCATGACTCTTCCTCTGAAGGGAAATCAAAGTGTAACTCCAACTGTTTTTATTGACAGATATAATTTACTCTCTGAGGCATGTAATCATCCCTGACGTAGGAAAACATTAAAGCAGGTATCGCTTAACGAAGACGGGCATGCAGATGATGACGGGCTTTGTGGAAAAACATTCGTAATGTAGAGGACTTTGCACAGGGAGTACCCGGGCGATAATTTAAGCCTATTAAAATATGAGAACCAAACCGCAATCCTTTGAATATTTATATTGCTGATACCTTATGGTATTTATTACAATTTACGTAGTAACAAACACATCCCTATTTCACAGACTGGGAATGATGAAACTAAACAAAATGAAATAAATAAATAAATAAATAAATAAATAAATAAATAAATAAATAAAAGTGCAGACCACATTAATGAAGTTCAATGGTCAACATAACCCGCTGATATTTTTATATGACAAGTACTCAAGAACGTGTGTTATGGGACTGGTATAGGTCTATATTACCACTAACAAGCTTAGCTATACATTCCCATTATCGCAAAACCCATCGTATTAGCCATATATAGGTTCTATAAGCTACCAATAATTGGTTGACACCGAATCCCTACATACGGTCTTTAATTTCTCCCTAGTACAAGCACCAAGTCACATTCACAACCGGACTGACTTAATTAAATCTTACAATACGCCAGGTATAAAACATGACGTCACCAAAATCTAGTGAAAAGTATGGGTGTGACGTCATACTGAATTCAAAAGTATTGGGATCCGTCTAAGATTTATAAAAACTTGTGGTCGTAACTTTTTTCGTCCGATGATTTGCTAAGACGCTGTTTGATTTGATCAGTTAAAATTATTCCTGCCTGTGAACTGACCATAATCATGACAACCATGATAAAACTGCAACCCATTGCCGATCAAGACAGACAACTTGGTGGCTTATTTTAAAAGATTTAATAAGAAATAAAACAAATTGAATACCCCTACCTGACGCATTATCATGTGATACATGTATTTCTTATTTTCAGTTGAAAACCTGCTCACCATATATATCTATACACATTTATGGCAGAACGTTGCGTTGAACTATGAAATAAAGAAAATGCTACTCACGGCGGTCGGTATTATCCCTGGAAATTGTACCACTATCAGCGGTGAGGGGGGAATGGTCGTCGGGATTTCTCAGGTCTGTAGGTAAGGCCAGCCTTGGTCCAGTCTTCCGGCCAGTGGACAATACACGGTGACCGATGACCAGTCCGCAATTAGCCGAAAGTCCTTTGAACTTCCTGTAAAACGTAGTCACCCGTGTTAGAGTTAACCCACACACAAGGAATATTACTAAATTTGTCAAATGGGAATTTGATCATGTTTAATCCTTAAAGTCTTATTGCGGTTAGGTGGTCAAGTGGCCTACGGGTCATTGTTGTCAGCGCAGGCCAGAAGACGACACGAGCAGAGACGCTGAGTCACACCCCCTTTTTTGGGTCGTGGTATGGATGTGGGGTTCCCTTTCTCTCTCTTCTACATCATTCTCTCTCTCTCTCTCTGTCTCTCTCTCTCTCTCTCTCTCTCTCTCTCTGCGTGTTTGTGCGTGTGCGTGCTCTTTTTTGTGCCGTGCTATGGATGTCGGGTCCGGGTACATTTCTGTGTGTGTGTGTGTGTGTGTGAGAGAGAGAGAGAGAGAGAGAGAGAGAGAGAGAGCGAAAGAGAGAGAGAGAGAGGCCATTAATACGATCGCGTGCATACAAGTATGACATTAAACCGCAAATAACCAGATATCTACATCTAACTCCATATGTTACCACTGCCTGATGCGTAAAATTTGGAAACTATGCTGAAAATGTAACTGCCCTACTGGAGAAAAAAGCTCATATTATGAACAGTGTGATCTGGCATGTCCGGGCAAAATCAATTGACCCTTTCTTCACAATATTGACGCGTAGAACTCACGGCTTTTTTTATTATCTGATATAACCACGCGACCCCGTTTAACAGGTAGGAGACAGTGGCGGATTTTGGAGGGAGGGATCGGGGGGGGGGGGCGGTCCTGACCCTCCCTTCGATTTCTGAAAAAATTCACACCAATGGCCCCCTCTTGAAATTAGCATTTTAACTACATGAATCATAATTCTAAACCGTACCAAATGGCACCGTTCGCTCTCTAAAATACCAAGATTTTTCGGGGCCCACGCCAACGGGGGAGGAGGGTCGGCTTTGCACCCGCTGACTCCCCCTTCAAATAATCCTGGATCCGCCCCTGGGAGAATCCCAGGTATTTTTTTACCTGTCAATATTATATTATTACATTCACCAATATCGTCCTTGTTAAAGTGACATTGTGCTATGCCGTTAATTGTCTTATCAAAAATAGAGATACACCTGGATTTATCAATTAAATAGGATTTCTGCAGGGCCCATATTTTTTTCTTTCTCCTGATTTATCCTTGAATCTTGTTTTCTTTTTCGGAAGAAAGGAGGAAGAGGGGGGAGGGGAGGCCAGAAGCATTTCGAAACCTCCCACGGGTTTACCCATTATCAAAAATAAATATTAAGGGACACAAAGCGTTACCTTTACTGGGACAACTTATTCTATGAAGATTAACCTGGCATTTTACATACACAATGACCATGGATTACAGTAATACTGGGCCAAAACAAGCCTTACGGATTAAGGATTAATTTGTGGGAGTGATTTTCTAGCGTTGTTCATATTTACATGCATTATGCCTGCTACGTTTCCGGCGCATAAGGTGTGCGGCTGTTCGTTTGCGGCTGTGAGTGGTCTTAAGCTTGCGCCTATGAAAGGCGACGGAGAGAACGACAAAATGTTAAAAGGTCGGAATTAGAATAAATAATGTCACCTGCATTGTACTGCGTTTGACATTTTGTTAAACGACATATATCTCTAGTGCTTAAATTTCTGTTGCTGTTTGCTTTATTTCAGCAGTAACACTGAACCTAGTCGCTATCACTTATGTTACTTTCTAACCATACACTTTTACTATTTACTGTTTAATTATTATATTATATTAACTATTCATTTATCTATTTATTAAATGGTTGCAGGATTCAAATAAATAGTGCATGAAAAAAAAAACNCCCCGCGGGGTTAGATCGATCTAAAATCTATGGGAATAGAGCCATAGTCTCGTTTTTCAAGTAGGATAGTTACAAAAAACCTGGAAACATTCTTCTACACCAAGGCCTTGGTGCATGCAATGATTATGGTTCTTAAAACCGTTACATCTATTGTTCATCGTTATATCAACATCTTACAAAATTAAACTCATAAACGGCAATGAATAAATAATGCACATGCGAGTAGAGTCTGTTACATTGCTGTGTTCTACGTTTAATATATTGGCAAAAGGTAAAAATGAATTAATACTAATAACGCCGACTGTCATGATCACGTTTATATTACTAAGGAGGAGAGGACAGTTATCAGAACAATCCAAACCAAGGACGACCTCAGTTGTTCATAAACACCTCTACATAACAATAACAGCAACAACAATAACCTGACTTCGCCTCTATTTATATTTTATTATGCGATAAAAGGACATTTGCGTACTATCAATTAACATTAGCAAACAGCTGATGAACCTAATTCAATCCCGCGAGACTAACCTTCATTACAGTGCCGGTGGGTTAAAATATTGGTCATCCTCGCTTAAAAATCAAACAGTCCGTTGTTATGATTCGCGCTAAAGTTAGCCATCAGGACTTGACAGATAAATTGGCCCCCAGTTCAGGAGATAAGTGAAATACAAACTATTGGTTCCAGAACTCAAAGCATTCGGCAAAAAGATTGCAACACGGCGACGCGCTGTTTTCTTCCACATCCAGACTATAACAATTCAAAGAAAAAAATAGATGTAAGGCCGGCTAGTAGCTGGCAACCAGGGACAAGCGGACTGCTAATTATATATTAAATTCGACTATCCCGAGAGAGAGACAACGTGTAACCTTTTTTTTTAATTGGGAAAAATTCTAAACACAAAACCTTATAAAGAACAGCAAAATTTTGTCAAGTAGGCCCGCTTGTCTACCACACAACCCCAAGTGCTACGTCAAGTTGTAATATTATTAAAGGAGACTTACCATCAGCCAACTGAGCTGTTCCTCCATCGCCGATATTGTATCGGAAGAAATCGATAGCGAAGTGATCCTCCCTAAGAATGGTGTGTTTACCTAGCGTTGCTTACCTACCGTGGGTGAGTGCTATTTTTGTCATGTCTGTTAGCGCCGAGCGCGTGCGGAACTTATTGAAACATGTACAGTAATGGCCATAAATACGGCTTCGTCGCAAAAACGGGTCTTCAGCATAGTTAAATTAAGAAACCGTTATGCAATATAGCTATTGGTTTATGTATGTAGAATTGGTATCATTCTATAAACAGTACATGGACATGAGAATCTGCAACCAACAGGGAGATAAAATTTAACTGTTTTCTCCAAAATCCAAAAAAGAGAAACCACCACTTCTGCCGGCAATAACCGGACCGAATTTTCAACTAAAATAAGAAAACAGGTGTCTTATTTAGGATCACTTATTGCGTTTGCTATTGTGTCTTGCTACTGATTTATCTCAATTTAGTATTTAAACACCTGTCTCGTGATGATCACCACTGTGCTATCTCTATGGCTGCTTCGGCTGTCTGGTGGACACTTTGAAACATAGCCGATAACAATTTTTCTCCGTTTTGACACCTAAGGGCTAAGGCGGGGAGGGGTGGTCAGTCGGATTCATTGGTGCCTTATTGTCTTATTTCCTTATAAATACTTTTATTGTGTTATTTCCTTAATAAATACTTAATAAATGTAATTCTCCATTGTCTTTTTTCATTTCCTCACCCCATCTACTTAAAGCGAGTCCTTTAATTTGGCTTCATGAAGTATAATGCAGTTATACCATATCTAAAACGTACGTTTATTGCATTTCTAGTTCTCTGCGTGTCTTTATGTCTGTCCGTCTGTCTACCTGATTGAGCGTCCATTGTCTGCAAGCCTTCTGGTTTGCTGCATTAAAAATGTGAACTCTGTGATATACGGGTCACAGGTTCCCCTGCACCTTAATACAGATAGAAAAAAATGAACTGGACAACCTGGGCGTAAATAACAGCGCGATTACGCCATTTTATCTCCATTACATTTCAGGTAGAATAATATTTTGGATATAAGTCCACGATTGTTCACATATATAATAACAAGCAGAAGGCGGAGGAATGGCAACATTTTGTTTTTCTCCTAAGCTCGGGTCATGACTCTTCCTCTGAAGGGAAATCAAAGTGTAACTCCAACTGTTTTTATTGACAGATATAATTTACTCTCTGAGGCATGTAATCATCCCTGACGTAGGAAAACATTAAAGCAGGTATCGCTTAACGAAGACGGGCATGCAGATGATGACGGGCTCTGTGGAAAAACAGTCGTAATGTAGAGGACTTTGCACAGGGAGTACCCGGACGATAGTTTAAGCCTATTAAAATATGAGAACCAAACCGCAATCCTTTGAATTTTTATATTGCTGATACCTTATGGTATTTATTACAATTTACGTAGTAACAAACACACCCCTATTTTGCCTCACAGACGTGCCCTCTTTCACAGACTGGAAATGATGAAACTAAATAAATAAATAAAGAAAGAAAGAAATAAATAAATAAAAGCGCAGACCATATTAATGAAGTTCAATGGTCAACATAACCCGCTGATATTTTATATGACAAGTACTCAAGAACGTGTGTTATGGGACTGGGTATAGGTCTATATTACCACTAACAAGCTTAGCTATACATTCCCATTATCGCAAAACCCATCGTTTTAGCCATATATACGTTCTGTAAGCTACCAATAATTGGTTGACACCGAATCCCTACATACGGTCTTTAATTTCTCCCTAGTACAAGCACCAAGTCACATTCACAACCGGATTGACTTAATTAAATCTTACAATACGCCAGGTATAGAACAGATGACGTCACCAAAATCTAGTGAAAAGTATGGGTGTGACGTCATACGGAATTCAGAAGTATTGGGATCTGTCTAAGATTTATAAAAACTTGTAGCCGTAACTTTTCTCGTCCGATAATTTGCTAAGACGCTGTTTGATATGATCAGTTAAATTATTCCTGCCTGTGAACTGACCATACTCATGACAACCAGATACAACTGTAATCCATTGCCGATCAAGACAGACAACTTGGTGGCTTATTTTCAAAGATTTTATAAGAAATAAAACAAATTGAATACCCCTACCTGACGCATTATCATGTGATACATG